AGTGCCAGGACCATTCAATATGGAAATGATAGTCTTTTCAGCAAATGGTGCTGGGAAAACTGAATGTCCACATGTAAAAGAATGAAGTTGGACTCTAACCTTATACCATATATATAAAAATTAACTCAGAAAAGATCAAATATCTAAACATAAGAGCTAAAACTATAAAACCGTTAGAAGAAAACAAAGGAGAGAATCTTCATTACCTTGGATTTGGCAATGATTTCATGGATATGATGCCAAATGCAAGGAAATAAAATGAAAGAACAATTTTGACTTCATCAAAATCAAAAACTTCCGTGCATCAAAGGACACTATCAAATGAGTGAAAAGACAACCCACAGAACGAGAAAAAATATTTGAAAATCATGTATCTGACAAGGGGTTAACATCCAGAATATATTTTAAAAACTCCTATAACTCAACGACAAAAAAGAAACAACCTAACTTAAAAATATGCAAAGGACTTAAATAGACAATTCTCCAAAGAAGATATATAAATGGCCAATAAGTACATAAAAAGATGTTTCTTAGTCATTAGGGAAATGTAAATGAAAACCACAATGAGATACCAGTTCGCACCCATTAGCATAGCTATGATAAAAAAATGATAAATAGGCGGGGCGCGGTGGCTCGCACCTGTAATCCCAGCACTTTGGGAGGCCGAGGCAGAGAGATCACATAAGGTCAGGAGTTCGAGATCAGCCTTGCTAATATGGTGAAACCCCATCTCTACTAAAAATACAAAAATTAGCTGATCATGGTGGTGCATGCCTGTAATTCCAGCTACTCAGGAGGCCGAGGCAGAAGAATTGCTTGAACCTGGGAGGCAGAGGTTTGCAGTGAGCCAAGATTGTGCCACTGCACGCCAGCCTGGGTGACAGAGCAAGACTCTGTCTTAAAAAAAAAAAAAAAAAAAAAAAGATAGGCCGGGCGCGGTGGCTCAAGCCTGTAATCCCAGCACTTTGGGAGGCCGAGGTGGGTGGATCACGAGGTCGAGAGATCGAGACCATCCCAGTCAACATGGTGAAACCCTGTCTCTACTAAAAATACAAAAAAAAATTAGCTGGGCATGGTGGCTCGTGCCTGTAATCCCAGCTACTCAGGAGGCTGAGGCAGGAGAATTGCCTGAACCCAGGAGGCAGAGGTTGCGGTGAGCCGAGATCGCGCCATTGCACTCCAGCCTGGGTAACAAGAGCGAAACTCTGTCTCAAAAAAAAAAAAAAAAAAAAAAAAAAAAGATAAATAAAAAGTGTTAGTGAGGATGTGGAGAAATTGAAACCCTTGTGCATTACTGGCAGTAATGTAAAATGGTGTCGTAACTGAGGAAAACAAGTTTGGTAGTTCCTTAAAAAGTTAAGCATAGAATTACTGTATAATCAAGAAATTCCACTTCTACATATACATACAAACAAATTGAAAGCAGGAAGTCAAACACACACTTGTATGCCAATGTTTATAGCAGCCTTATTCATAATAGAATCTAGCCTCACCATCATTTAAAACAACCATTCATTCTTAAGGTCAGTTTAGTACTTTCAAAAACCTGGGAGTAAATGTGGGAATAAAAGACAGAGGAAAGTGGCTGAAGGTGGTAGCTAGCAAAGCGCCAACGGTGTGAGATCAAGCAGACAAGGGCTATAAGGTCACCGGAAAAGCAATGCTGAAATGTCTGACAACAGGGTCCTGGCATGGTTAGTAATCCAGAAAGCCAGAATAGGGTTGAGGCCCAGAAGACAGACGAAGGCCTTGATAAGAATGAAGAGAGGCTCCTGTACAGGGCACCCTTTCATAAAGAGTAGGAGCAGGAATGGGGCACTGACTTCCTGCATCTTTATTTCCTCCAAATGTCCAGCACATTTTAAGAGTTCAATGAAGTATACTAAATGCTAAATATGAATGAACAAAAGAAGTGGTATTACTCTAACTCTCCAATTTGTTCCAAGGTAGAGGAATTGTTTAGCTTTGCCTCTAATCCCCCCAACACCTCCCACCATGTTAATTGATAGCGAGTCTCTGGTTTGGTGACATCTTAAGCTGCAGCCTCAGCCTATTGAACCATAAAAATTAACCTGAACTTGTCTCCATACAAAATATCATTATTGGGTCTTTAACTACAGATAAGTATGTTTCCATGAATAACTTTTATCAAAGTGTTTTAATAATAATGGTATATATATATTTTTTACATTCAGAGAATTTATGCAAAGTAACTTCACGTGCCTTATTTTCACTTAAAGCCTCACAAATCTGACAGCTAGGTAGGGCTGGAATTATTATGCCAATTTTACAAATTAAAAAGCCAGAGAAATTAAATTAAAAATAATTAATGGGTAGTAGGCTTAATACCTGGGTGGTAAAATAATCTGTGCAATGAACTCCTGTAATGCAAGTTTGACTATAAAACAAACCTGGACATGCATCTCTGAACTTAAAATAAAAATAAAAAGTTACATGTAAAAAACTTCTCTCTTAATAGTGTTTCTGCTGTATCCCATAGGTTTTGCATGTTGTGCTTTCATTATCATTTGTTTCAAGAAATGAAATTCTGATGTATCCTACAATACGGATGAATCTTGAAAACACTAGATGAAATGAAAGAAGACAGACACAAAAGGACAAATATTGTATGACTCCACTTATACGAGGTACCTAAAATAGGTAAGTTCATAGAGACAGAAAGTAGAACTTTACTACAAGAAAAATATTTTTCAAAAATTGTAAAAGAAAGCTTCTGACAGTTCTAACTGCTTAAAAACTTGAAAATAATCCAAATGTCATTCCATGGGTGAGGGGACAAACAAAATGTGACACATCCATATGCTTGAACACTACTCAGCAATAAAATGGAAAGAGGTATTAATACATGTAACAATAGATGAAATTTAAAAACACCATTCTGAGTGAAAGAAGCCAGTTTTAAAAGGTACTGTATGATTCTATTTTTGTGGCATTCTTGAAAGGACAAAACTATAGTCAGGAAGAACAGATTAATAGTTGCCAGGGGTTACAGTGAAGGGAGGATGTGGCTCTAAAGAGGTAGCATGAGGGATTTTGGAACTGTTCTGTATCCTGATCATGGTGGTAGTTACGCAAACCTCTATATATGTTCAAACTCATAGAATTGCATACCAAGAGAAAGTCAATTTCACTGTATGATCTAAAAACTTAAAAGTATTGTAATACCATAATAAAAAAATGAATATGAGATTTAAGAGTCTAGAACTCTACTATAAAAGCCTTACAAAACTGTTTAAAGGGCTTGAAAAAGTTATATAGAAGAAATCCCATATATTAAAATTAAGCATGTTTATTCTTCTAAATTCTCTATAATTTCACAAACATTTAAAGAAGGATATATAGCAAAACTTGTATTTCGGTAAAGCAAAATCATGTTTCAGCCCCTGGCCTTAATCACTACATTCAGATCAGAACTTGTCCTTAAGGAGAAAAAATATATATATACATACTTATGGGAAAAATCAAAGTCAAATCATACTAGGTTTGACTACCATATTGGGCTGTTATGTGGCACAAGTGAAATAATGTAAAATAAAGTCATATGAAACTGTCTTATTACTAAGTTTTCAAAAACCACAATTGAACGAGATGAGATAGCCTTTAAACACTTTTCTATGACAGTTCCCATGATCACAGCTACCATCAGCCAGTGTTCTGGGCTCTTAATCTGATGTGTCATGTTGCCTAGTAATACACAGAGACAGTGATTGATCAGCGATTATAAACCTAAGCAAACAAACAATTCTTAACTTTGTTGTTAATGAAACACTGATCTTTCTCACAGCATCAAAGATCAGAAAGGAACTGTGAGTATCTGGAATGACTCTACACTTGCTTCCACTGGGTTTCAGATTCACTTCCCTTTTCTGTTCTCTGGAGACAGAGCACAGCTGTTAAGCATCGTTTTATAAGTGTTTTCTTCTAGAAATTTCCCAAGGGCCATTACTAAGTGTGAGAAATATTGGGAAGACCATAACAGATTTGTATATGAGTCACTTTCCATCTGCATCAGGTTAAGTGCACTTACAGCACAATTTTAATAAAATAAGAAGGGAAAATGAAGCATTTAATTATTGCTTAACTGGAGATTACTATTTTTAGATTTTCAGTTGCTGATTATCCTTGCATATAGGAAGGCAGAATTGTCTTCTCAAGAGTATATTGTCACAGAGCCTTGAACATTGTGCTTCTAAGATCTCTTTTCAAAATTTCATGGTTCAAACAGAAACTCTCTGTTGAGTTCCCTACATTTGTAAATTGTAGAACAGGCACTGTCATGGCTGAAGTGTCTGCTAATTGCCAGAGGTGCTAAAAGTCCCTCTCCATCTTCAGAAGCCCATGTTCTCAATAGCATCCAAGATGAAGAGAACAGAAGAAACAACAGGACTCTGTAACCAAATGGTTAATCAAAGGATAGAGATGTTAACTCTCTATCCACTCAAGTCTATAGAAAAACCCTATAATAGGAGTCTTCCAGAGGCTGATGTACTCACAGCCCAGGGCGCTGTACCTTCCTCAATGGGACTCTAAGTGATTCATCCTTGAGGAAGGTTCAGAAGCAGTCAGGACAGGGCCACCAGTTGTTCTGGTGGAAGGGAACTTGCAATATGTTGAGTTTTTACAATTTAAACTCTGGACGTCTAAGGAGCTACAAACCTGTTGGGGTCAAACAGGACATCACGGCCTTGGTGAAAAGAATTGCTGGCATTTCCATTTTCAAATTAAGCAAGGCTCAGCCCTAGGTTCTCTTGAAATACTACAATCTCAAAATGGTATGAGGAGTTGAATGCTGCAGGAAAGAAAGCCAGCTTCAAATTGATTTGTTCCAAGTCTAGAAAAGCTCATGGCCTGGTTTTACGATCAAACGATTGTTTTAAGATTGCATAGAGCTTACTGGAGGATGTGTTTCCTTTATAATTACCTCACAAGAATGTAGATTGGGGCGAAGAATAAGAAAAGTGTGAAAAATATAAGATTACCATTTCGATGTAGCTTTCTTCCTCTTCTCTGGAAACAGGATTAGCAAAAAATCTTGCAGAGTTAATACCATTTCTTTCTGGAGAGAGAAAGCTGGTTCGACTGCTAAGAATAAAAATATAGATGAGGTCAAAGCAATGTCTTACAGCTGCTCTGAAAGCCAGCCAGGAACTAACATGGCCCCCATGGGGTTTCGGCCCTCCCCTTCCAGACACAACTTCTTTCCGGCCAAAGCAATTCCTGAAGAAGCAGAAACTGCCCAACAGTTTCTGCCCCACTCTGGGGCAAATGGCTCCCCATTCACAAAGGCTGCTTTTTCCCCCAGGCTCTCTATGTGACACAGCTCAGGAGCTTTCTAAACAGATGAAGGCATCATATCATTTAGCAAAAAATCACTCATTTGGGGCCTTCTTGTTTCTATTCAACGTAAGGAAAAGCGAGGAAGTATGGCCATTCCTCTGACAGGACAACAAGACTACTAATGAACTTCCATCCTTCTCCTGTGTCAGAAGTATGGGCTGAGTCACTGTCTTGGCTGGAAATACAGCTCATTGCAGAATTCTGCTTTACAATGCAATTGTGTTTTGTAGCATTTAGAGTGAACCAAGAAACTCCTAAGCCAAGCTCAGGACTAAAAATGCAACTTCTAAAAGGTGAGGTGAAAGGGTGCAATTACATTTTGAAGTCTGTCTACCCAGCCCATGAATCTGGGAACTCCCTTGTCCTACCCCATTCACAAAGCTGGGCTTGGGCCATAGCCGATTCCACTGAGACTGGGGAACACAATAATCTCTCCCCAGGAAATCTGAATTGGGATTGAAAAAGAGCCCATCTTTGGTACTGGAATTGTAGCATGTAAACAAGTTCGGGAGGTATGGTATAGCTATCTTTGACTATGAGGATTGTGCAACAGAGAAAAGAATACTGCAAAGACAAAGGAATGCACAGATGTGAAGAGTGAAGCAGATGTGCACAGATTCCTTGGGTTCCCAACAGCACACTAGTTCCTGATTCTGTAATCCTGGGAGACCCAGTCATATTCATTCCTTTGTGATCTATAAAACATCTCTTGCTCTCAATAATAAGCCTCACCCTTCCTTTGGCTTAAACTAGATCAAGTGGGCTTCAACTGCATTTAATCAGAGGCCTAACACACACCAGGGGTGTTTGGGCTGGATGAGGCTCTTTTGAGCAATCAGAGTCTTACCAAGGCACAGTGCGGGTCCTGGTAAGAGATGCATGTTCCCGGATGGTGGAGAGATTTCTCAGGTCCAGGGGAGGTGGCCGTGCTACAAGACAGTGTGCAACATCCAGGAGGTCAAGGCTAGAATTTAAAGGCTGTAAAACTACGACATTTCACTTTTCCAGTACAGCAAATCACATTCACTAACAGGCAGCACTGATGATGAGCGTGAATTTTACTGTCCTCTTTCTTGCCTCACTGGGAGTAAAGACAAATACTGAGCAAATGGCCACGTTACCTGCTGCAGATAACAATGTAGCAATGCATTATTAAGTCTCTGTATATCATGCATGCTTCTAGCTGTTGAGGGCACAGGATGGACAAAGCAGATGAAAGTCTCTGATCTTGTGGAATTGCAACACCTAGCTCACACTTGATGTGTCTGAAGTGGAAATGTTATGTTTCTTATCGCAGGAAGCGATGACCACCCAGGTCCTAGTCTTCCACACCTACAATCCATTGTGCACCTGATGATCCGTCTGTCTAGAACTTTCTTCCCCATTTCTTTGCCTCCAGACAAGATCAGGCCCCACACCACGGGCTCTCAAGTTCTTGTACTTACCTTTTACAGCACTCCCCCAGTTTGTGATGATACATTCATCTATGATTGATCTGGGCCTAGACCGTGCTCCAGGTGTACAGGGGTACATCTGTTTGTTCACTGCCGTAGCCATGGCACCTAAAGAAGCACTTGGTATCTGCCCTGACCCTTATTCCACCTCAGTGGTCCATCTTCCAGAGTTAGTCCTGACCCAGGTGTCCACCTTTGCATGCACCTTTGTTAGGGATGCAGCCAAAGAGCCCTCTGGAATGAACTTGGCTTTGTCAGCTGTATTTGCAGGGCCACCGTGCCTGTACATCCCCCAGCTCCTATTATCATGACAATCTGCGGCGGGAAGACGTCTCAGCTCTTCCTATTCCATCCCAGCCACTTTGTGGTCTTCCTTTCCAGAAACCTTTTCTATGCAACCACCAGAGCCTTGCTCCCCTGGTCAAGTGCTTACATTTCCTCTGAGGCTTGAGATCTCTATTCACTGGGGGAGGTTCCAGGTCTGCAGGTAGCTCAGGCAGTGGGCTTGAGATGCTTCCTGAGCTCATTGGAATGTAGTCATCAGGGCTGCAGTGGGGTCCAAGACCAGAGGCAACGGCCTGGGGGCTCATTGGCATATAGCTGTCTTCGGTACTGGTTGAAGCTGTGGGGTACGTTGGGGAGAACCTGCATGGCTGCAAAAGATACAGATTGGGAACCGCAGACCAGTCATAGAAACTGCTATCACAGGGCAGCCAAGGCTGCACATATGGTTCCAGTTCCAAATTATCCAAGTCTAACTCTGAACTTCCTCAGGAAAGTCAGACAAGCCTCTGGCTAAAGTTCTGCCTCTGGACTTACCATTTTAGTATAGGCGAGAACTCTTCAAGATCTGACACTGGAAGACAGAAGGTTATGCATTTATGCAAATGCTTTAGGTATAAAGCGATGCCTGAAGTAGCTATACCAAGTTGAGCAGGTGTCTGAACCATTAAAACCAACAAGACCCTTATGGAACACCAAGTCCCGTAGTTCTCAAACGAGTTCAAGTCTTCAGGTAAGACTAGAAGAGTCCTCAGGGACTCAGAGTGCTGAATCTTAAAGATTTCAAGGGAATATATACATATCAGGCTATTTTAGTAAAATTGATGCTTAAAGGAACCTGCGTGAACTTACCAAATTTAAACTAAGCCGCTTGTCTCGGTGTCTTAAGGAATGGCCTTCTACATCAGCTGTAAGAAATAAGCCAAGGTGGTGAGAAATGCAGGAAAACATCAGCTGAAACTAGAATCCAAGTCCCTATGTACCCCAAGGACCTGTGCTCAGCTCAAGAGAGGCAGAGAAGCATAACACATATACACAATGCTTGCTATTGGAGTGTAGCTGGGCAGTCAGAACACGTTTCCCCAACAGATAAAAAATCAGACCAGAATTTGAAGAAGTTTGTAGCTGATGGCTTGAGCTCTGTCTGTGAATTAGAAGAAAACGTAGCAAGTAATTAACAGATGCTTGTTTAATTTATTACATAAATCTTCTGAACTGAAGGCAGAGCTGGAGGTTTGAGGAGAGGAGAGAAGGTTTGAAATATTCTTTGAAATGAGCAAGAGAACAGGGTGAACGGAGAAATGATTGCCTTGTGGAGCAGCATTAAGGGCCCAATTGAGGTCTGTGACCATGAATTAGTGACTCGGATTTTCTACAGAAAAACTACTAGAAAGAACAGTTGGATTTATCCAGGATTAGAAACTCATCAGTTGGCTGTGATAAAGGGTATGATACAAAAATTTAGAATAATTGTTGAAGTTGAAGAGGAGATATTCAGAAGGCAGCAAGATACCTGGGCCTAGACTCAAACGAGATATAATTTGGGGGAATTTAGCAGCTTGGAGATGACAGTCAAAACCGTAAGAGTAGATGAAACTAGGTTGCAAGTGTTGAGAAAAGTACAAAACTATAGAGAATCCTAAGATTCGAAGAACTAAGAGGTAAGTCAGTGAAGTATCTTGAGAAAGAGCAACCATGGATTAATGAGGAAACTTGGGGGACATGGTACCATGAAAGCCTCAAGAAGGAAAGAATGGCCAATGGTGTTGGGTGGTGCAGAGAAGTCCAGCAAGCGCTCCCAGCATGTGGTGGCCAGAGCAAAGCAGCCCTCAGCCCTCAAGAGCTTGGAGGTGTGAAAAGTCAGGCAACCTCTAAGAAATAAAATTTAACATCATCTTAAAATGCAAGGACAACTCCCAGTTCAGAAAAATGTGACAGAAACAGATAGAATTAAGCATATATATTTACATATATGTGTATGTATATATGGATATATCTATGCTTACATGTTTGTTAAGATGTATAAGTACTGGTTAAAAACTACTCTGAAGTCAGACTGTCTAGTTTTAAATCTCTACACCACCATGACACTAGAAAAGTTACTTACCATCTCTATGTCTCAGTTTCCTAATTTGTAAAATGAAGCCAATAATAGAACCTATTTCATAGGACTTCTGGAAAGGCTAGATGTGTTGGTGCATCTAAAGGACTTAGAACACTGCCTAGAACACAGAAAGTACATAATAGCGCTTCGAAATTATAATGGAAGAATTTCTTATTGTGAGACTTGCATGTGTGAGCACAAGCCCCTGACTCCTTTTCCAATATGAGACCCTTTTGAAGTCACCAAAGAATATAAATACAGAGAAACCCTGAATCAAAGGCATAGGTGTAACCCATGTGCCAGATACATTAAAGATTTATGACAGAATGCAGATGCGATTAGAGTAAAGGAGAGCGCTTTTTCTCTTACGTGGCAGCATTCGTCGCAAGCTTCCTGAAGTGCCTTGGGCCTTACAGGAACACGGGAAGACAGTACCCCCCATGGCCTGGGGTGGTTGTAGCTATGGAGTAAGGCTCCTCTGCCTTTGGAAAGGGAAGGGAAGAGTGGGAAGACCTGTGTCCTGTGGTTTGAGCTTCAGTACAATAAAACACTAAGTAGACTTCTAAGGTTTTTGAGGCTCCTGGACAGCATCTCTGGACCCACTCAGGGACTGGGGGACTTAGCTACCCTGAAGGAAAGGACACAGGCCTGGCTATCTTTGCCACCTGCTGCTTGTAGAGCCTTTAGGGCCTTGAGCAAACACAAGCAGAAGTCAGGGAGTGGTTACAGCAAGCCTGGGTGAGACCCAGTGCTGTGCTGGCTTCAGATCTGACACAGCACAATCCTAGGACTGGTGGCCACAGGGGTGCTTGTGTCACTCCACCCGCAGCTCCAGATGGCTCAGAACAGAGAGAAAGAGATATTGTTTGTTTGGGAGAAAGTAAGGGAAACCTCCACCTGGTAATCAAGACCATCAAGGCAGTATGTCTACAAGCCTGCAAGAACCACAGGATTACTGGGCCTGTGGTTTCCCCCCCAAAGAAGATACAGCTGAGACGACAACACCCAGTTCCTTTTGAATATCTACAAAGCCTTCCCAAGAAGGACAGGTACAAACAAGCCCAGATAGTGAAAACTACAATAAATGCCAAACTCTTCAATGTCCAGACATCAAGGAACATTTACTAGGATCAACACCATCCAGGAAAACATGACCTCACCCAATAAACTAAATGAGGCACAGGGACCAATCCTAGAGAAAAAGAGATATTGCCCTTTCAGGCAGAGAATTCAAAATAGCTGTACTGAGGAAATTCAAAGAAATTCAAGATAACACAGAGAGGGGATTCAGAATTCTACAAGATAAATTTAACACAGAGATGGAAATAATTACAAGGAATCAAGCAGAAATTCTGGAGCTGAAAAATGCCACTGGCCTACAGAAGAATACGTCAAAGTCTCTTAATAACAGAATTTATCAAGCAGAAGAAAGAATTAGTGAGCTTGAAGAGATGCTATTTGAAAATACACAGAGTAGGCAAAAGAAAAAAGAATAAAGAAGAATGAAGCACACCTACAAGATCTAGAAGTAGCCTCAAAAGGGTAAATAATCTAAGAGTTATTGGCCTTAAAGAGGAGGTAGAGAAAGAGCAACATTCAAGTATAAGAAGGTTATAGAACACAAATCAGGTTTAACCTAAGTAAGACTATCTCAAGGCATTTAATAATCAAACTCCCAAAGGTCAAGGATAAAGAAAGGATCCTAAAAGCAGCAGGAGAAAAGAAACAAATAACATACAATGGGGCTCCAATACATATGGCAGCAGACTTTTTAGTGAAAACCTTACGAGCTAGGAGACAGTGGCATGACATATTTAAAGTGTTGAAGGGAAAAATTTTAACCCTAGAATGGTATATCCTACAAAAAATATCCTTCAAACATGAAGGAGAAATACTTTCCCAAACAAATAAAAGCTGAAGGATTCCATCAACACCAGATCTGTCCTTCAAGAAATGCTAAAGGGAGTCCTTCAATCAGAAAGAAAAGAATGTTCCAGAGCAATAAGTAATCACCTGGAGGTACAAAACTCACTGGTAATAGTAAGTAAACCAAAAAACACAGAATATTGTAACACTGTAACTGTGCTGTGTGAACTACTCTTAGCCTAAGTGGAAGCATTAAACAATGAATCAAACAAAAATAATAACTACAACAACTTTTCAAGACATAAACAGTACAATAAGATGTAAATAGAAAAAACAAAAAGTTGAACACCAAGGGTACAAAGTTAAGGCATAGAGTGTATATTAGTTTAATTTCACTTGTTTGTTATGCAAGCAGTATTAAGTTGTTGCCAGGTTAAAATAACGGATTATAAGGTAGTATTTGCAAGCCTTGTGGTAGCTTCAAACCAAAAAACATATAATGTACACACAAAAAGTAAAAAGCAAGAAACTAGGTCATATCACCAGAGAAAATCACATTCACTAAAGGAAGACAAGAAGTAAAGAAATAAAGAAGAGAACACCACAAAACAACCAGAAAACAAATAACAAAATGGCAAGAGTAAGTCCTTACTTAATAATAACATTGAATGTAAATGAACTTAACTCTTCAATCAAAAGACATAGAGTGGCCTTTTTCATCCAAAGGATGAAAAAAAACAAAACCATTGATCTGTTACTTATAAGAAACACACTTCACCTATAAAGACACACCATGCCTATGGAAAATGAAAAAGAGCACGAGTCACTATACTTGTATCAGACAAAATAGATTTCAAGACAAAAACTAAAGAAGAGACAAAGAAGGTCACTATATAATGATAAAGGGTTCAATTCAGCAAGAGGATATAACAATTTTAAATATGTATGCCATCCAGATATATAATATTATAACTAAAGACAGAAACAGACCACAATACATTAAGAGCTGGAGACTAACATCCCAGTTTTAGCATTGGACAGATCTTCCAGACAGAAAATTAATAAACATTGGGCTTAATCTACACTAGACCATATGAATCTAATAGATATTTACAGAATATTTCATCCAAGAGCTGCAGAGTACACATTCTTTTCTACATCTCAAGGATAGACCACGTTAGGTCACAAAACACGCCTTAAAACATTCAAAAATTGAAATAATACCCAGCATCTTCTCTGAAAACAGTGGAATAAAATTAGAAATCAATAACAACAGGGATTTTGGAAACTATGGAAATTTTAAAATATGCTCCTGAATGACCAGTGCGTCAATGAAAAAATTAAGAAGGAAATTGAAAAAAAATATTGAAACAAATGATAATGGAAACACAACATACCAAAACCTATGGGATGCAGCAAAAGCAGTATTAAGAAGGAAATTTGTAGTGCTAAGGGCCTACATTAAAAAAAAAAAAAAAAAAAAAGAGAAAAACTTCAAATGAACAATCTAACCATGCATTTTAAAGAACTAGAAAAGCAAGAGCAAACCTACATTAGGCATTTCTCCCAGTGTTATCCCTCCCCAACCTCACCACCCGCCACTGTCCCTCTCCTAGCCTCTGACCCCCCAAAATACCCCAGTGTGTGAAGTTCCCCTCCCTGTGTCCATGTTCTCATTGTTCAACACCCGCCTATGAGTGAGACCATGCGGTGTTTGATTTTCTGATCTTGTGTCAGTTTGCTGAGAATGATGGTTTCCAGGTTCATCCATGTCCCTACAAAGGACACAAACTCATCCTTTTTGATGGCTACATAATATTCCATGGTGTATATGTGCCACATTTTCCCTGTCCAGTCTATCATCGATGGGCATTTGGGTTGGTTCCAGGTCTTTGCTATTGTAAACAGTGCCGCAGTGAACACACGTGTGCATGTGTC